CGTAGTATCGTTGCAATTCCAAGCTCTTTTTCTGTAAATCAAACAAACCAATGTGCAAAAAATACATTGTACATTTGGCTTCAGTAGAAGTAAAAAACATTGAAATTATTGGTGGATATGGAAAAGCATCTTCGTCACCCAAATCCAAAAAATAAGCAGATAATGGATCAAATACTTTGAGTAATCGTTCAATAGACGGATATAGGCTAAGCCAACGAATATTGATGTGTTTCAATAATAACTGAATATAAAAAACATTGATGACTATTAATAATATGATATATGCTTTACTAAATGATCTTGCTCGACAAAATCAAAGTACTCTTTGAGAGTTTCTACTCGTTTTGTTGAAGAAGAAAAGTGACCATAGAGTTTTGACAAAATTGATTCAACATCAATGACCAAGTGTATATGTGAAGTTTTAACTGCATTATTTGGGACATGTGAAAAACAATTTCCTAGAAGAAAACATTATGATTAGGGACATGTGTATTTTTCTTCAATAGCAAAACACCTTTCTTTAGATGTGGAATATCAGATTTCAACAAAGAAAAAACAGAATGAATTCGTCCATAATTAACGTTTGTATTATCAGCACCAATTGATGTCATATTCTGGATATCAATATTATTCATTTGCAATACTTCTCGAAGTGAAGCAACAATATGATCAGCTGTTTCATTAACTAGTTCAATTACTTCAATCACTGATCGTTCGATACCACGAACTGTGAAGTAATTTACAACGAATGGAAACATTTTCTTGTGACCTTTGTTTGATGCATCGAATGATAAAGAATAAAAACCGGATTTATTAATCATTTCTGTAATTTGAGAAGTCATAAATGGAGCTAAAAAAAAAGATCGTAAAAAAATAAGAAATATTAATAAGAAATATTCGTCTAACGATCTTTACCCTTCTTCTCTAATTGGTCAGTATACTTCTGTTTTAAAAAAGAATTATTACTCACCTAAAACATTAACAGCAATTTCACGAGCTTTAGTTCGTCCACATGTGAGATTTTTTCCAACAGTTGAATCTTGAAACAATTTCTTCGAGACATCAGCAGTGCATGCCTGACTCAAATAGCTATGTCCATGACGTATTCCGTGATAAACTAATGTGATTTCAGCAGCAACCAACTTTGTCAATTCAGTCGAGTGAGGAATAAAATCAAACATTGAATGTGCTAAAAGACAATAGATCAACATAATCAGTATTCTTTTGAATTAATGAACAAACTAAATTACATTTGTGTTTAGCTTCTGCTGCTACTAGACGCTTGTGATTCGCTTGTTCAAGATGGCGATCGATCAAATACTTCCCACCATTAGCAATTGAAAAATTCAATTTACACACAGAACAATGTGCAAGTGATGAATCTGTTCGACACTCTTGTAAAAATGATGCATATTTCGAAATTTTAATCCATTCTTTGTTGAACTTGCAATATCTTTTTGATTTTGATGAAGAATTCAATGACTTTCTTTCTATATTGAAAGATAATCTAGACATAGAACTTGATGTTTCTTTTGGTGTTATTGTTTTTTCAAATTCGAGTGTCATGGAATCATTCTCTTCCTCAATGACTTCAATATCTAGTTCAATAGAATTATCGTTGTTCATTTGCTGCATAACTAAAATCTACAATAATTCCTCGGTATTTTGCAATAAATATATATGAATTCTTTTAATAGAAAACTATAATCGATTAGAAACACGATTTAATTTCGATTGTGAGATTCAAATTGCGAAAGAGAAGGAAACACAAATGCTAAGAATAACAATGTCCTGTATTGGTCATGAATCAGCCAATGTAATTGACTCTTCGTATCTCTACTATTCAAATGAAGATGTCAACTACAGTCAATAAGTTTATCGCTTTTAATAAAATATGATTTTAATCTTATGCAAAAGGAAATTGTTCAAATGGGTTACAAATTTTGTACCTCTGAGGTACAAATCTTTTTGAGGTACAAAACGTTAAAATGGGGTACTGTACCCCGAAATGGGGTACAGATGGCAGCCCTGATCCACACCCACCCCATTTAATCTTTTTTTTATCTATTTTTATTTGTTA